ATCCATCCATCCATCCATCCATCCATCCATCCATCCATCCATCCATCCTGTCCCAGAAGCAATAGGGCAGTCCAAATTTGGAAGTAAATAAGAAAAAAAGTTAAAATGTTATTTAAAAAGAATTACTACCTCTTGCACAAATAAATATATGTGGAAGATATAATAATCATAATGATGATAATAAATTAATAATAGCAATAACAACATTGTGGTGACTGATATTTATTTCAGTAACTGCACTATTATTTCTGGGACATCCTTTGTATGTATACACACATATACATATGTATTCATGGTCATGCACACACGCTTATCTATTTTATTGCTTATCGGGGGGGGGGGAATTCATTAAATTATATTCTGGCTCTCAGTTATTCCCTATGATTATCATCTGTTCAATCTTAATCTTTAGTCCATTCAAGTAATGTTATAGAACTTGATTTTTTTTTCATTTCTTTTTTGCTCCTTCTCACAAGATTCATCCAAACTTTAACAAACCTCTTTTGTAAATCCAATATAAAAGAATTATCTAGGTCACTCTCTTGGGTTATTATTTGTAATTCCCTTTTGATTTTTAAAGCATCAACCAGTTTCTTTTGTATGTCCAGTAAGACATCTTTTTCCATGTCATTCTTGTAACCCGTCATTTGTAGATCCACTTTCAGTGTCAACTCTGTTTCTGTCTTGCCAAATAAAACTTGTCCCTCTTCTGCCATTTCTTCCATAACATCTTTTGGACACAGTCTATCTATAGAAGCAAACATCACTATTGACATTGCTGATACTAACTTCTGATTCCATTTTTTCAAAAGTATCCTTCAGTATTTCCAATGTTATAATATTTTGTGTCATTCTGTAGCTGTTAATCAGGTTTGTGTATTCTTCTCCTTTAATTAAAATATTTAGTTCCCTTTAGTGTCCAATTTTTAAATTTGCTTATCTTTATTATATCTTAGAAAAAATTCAAAACAAGTCCACTTTCCCACAGGAAGGATTCTTTATAATTAATTC